AAAAGGATGAGTTCATGTACTTTGAAGGGACATGGATGAAACTGGAAAATATCATTCTCAGCAAACTGACACAAGAACAGAAAACCACCACACATTCTCACTCATAAGTGGGTGTTGAACAATGAGAACACATGGACACAGTGAGAGGAACATCACACACTGGGGCCTGTTGGGGGTGGGGAGGCTAGTAGAGGGATAGCAGGGGGTGGGAGATTGGGGAGTGACTACATTAGGAGAAATACCTAATGTAGGTGACAGAGGGATGGAGGCAGCAAACCACCATGGCATGTGTATACCTATGTAACAATCCTGCACAATGTGCATGTGTACCCCAGAACTTAAAGTATAATTTTTTTAAAAAAAGGAAAAGAAGCAAACAAAAAAGAAAAATTAGGATGACTGCTTTTTGCTCAAGCAAGTAGAATGTTAATATTTATTTTAATGTTTACTAATTTCCATTGTTTTCTTCATGTCCCTAATACTTTTGATTGATTTATTATTATATACATGTATTGCTTTATCTCAAAGCAGTTGGAGATTCTCTATTTTAAAAAAAATTGATTTCTAGTTTTTACCTCTGTGGAAAGGAATACACTCTGTGAATCTATTCTTGAAATTTGTTGATTTGCTCCAAAGCTCAATATTTCATCAGTTTTCTTAAATGTTCTGCTCACTGTTTAAAAATAAATTTAAATAACCCTTATTTAGTAATAGTTTATATTTATCAGGAAGACAGAAACACAGAAGTAGGAAAACCAAGTTTTCAAGAAACAACTTCTGTTTCAAGCAACAATTTCCGTTTCAAGCAACCATTTCTTTTTACATGCTTTTAGAATCTCAAGTTACTATTCCGTTTCATTCACATTTGTCCAATTCTTGTGTTTTCAAGCCTGTAATCTTTGATTGCTTAGAATTAAAATGTAAGGTTTAGAATTAAAATATAAGGATGTAGGAACCTGTAAATGATATTTTGAAAAAAAGTTATCTTTAAAGTGATTTGTAAGAGAGCAACTTTATTACAGTGAATAGTTGGAAAACCACAGAGACACAGCCTTTGGTGTAAAATAAAGATGTGTTCCAAAGAACAAAGGAAGAATTCAAGTCTCATAGAAAAATTTCCTTCCCAGGTTCCCTGTCTTGTAGGTTTGTGCAAAATGAAGGATTCTAACTCGTTTAGTTTTGATGGCTGATAGAACTGAGCCCTGATTAGTTGAGACAGTTGAGCCCTGATTGGTTGAGGCTGATGAGCCCTAATTGGTTGGTTCAAGTAAGCCCTGGAAGTCTCACAGTTTAGTCTCTTATTAGTTTCTTACCTTTGTGTGTGTGTGTGTGTGTGTGTGTGTGTGTGTGTGTGTGTGTGTTTGATGAGAGCACATGAAGTCTATTCTCTTAGCAAATTTTTAATATACAATACAATATTATTAACTATAGTTCTACTGTGGTAGAAATGGCTAAACTTATTTATCCTGCAAAACTACAAATTTGCACTCTTTAATCTACATCTCCCCTTTTCCTGCCACCCCCCCTCCACCCCTGCAAACCACCCTTCTATTCTATTCTGTGTGTTTGACATTTTTTCCTAGATTTTACATATAAGTGATATCATACAGTATTTTTCTTTCTGTAATTGGCTTAATTCACTTAGCAGGTTTATCCTCCAGGTTCATCCATATCATCATAATGGCATTATACCCTTCTTTTCTAAGGTGGAATAATATCTTAATCTGTGTGTATATATATCTATGTCTATATACAGATATAGATATCAAATCTTCCATCTATGAACACTTAGGTTGCTATTGTGAATAAAGCTGCAATGAACATGGCAGTACAGATATGTCCTGAAAAGATATACAAAGCCATGCAGATAATTTGACTGGGTAAAGTGGACCACAACTATTTTGCTCCCTTCTAGGATTTGCAGCATGTTGTAGTACAAGTGAAACATTTGTAAAGATTTGAGTAATGATTTTATTAGCTCTGTTTGTATGATTAATTATTCTCCTGAACTGCTTCCCCACCTCTAACCACAAAATATCACCAGCATCCATTGGAATGTACGTACTATCCTAATCACTGGATTGTGACCAGTCTAGGTACTCCAATAATCATATTTCCTTTCTTTGACTTCAGAAAAGAAACCAGTAGCCCATGTGATTTTTGGGAAAATAGGTTTGAACAGAACCTTGGAGATGAAGAGTGGGCTATGGGTTAAAAGTGTAATATAATGCAGTATGTCCCAAAGTGTGGTATACATGCCTCTTCAGGTAGATGACATGGTTTTAAGTGTTACACAGATTTTTGAAGAATTTTTTTGTATAAATATAAGGGATACAATTGCAGTTTTGTTACATGAATATATTGCACAGATGGTTCAGTGTAACCATCACCTAGATGGTGTACATTGTACCCATTAAGCAATTTCTGATCCCACCCTTCCAAATCTCCAATGTTTATTATTTCACACTCTGTGTCCATGGAGGTACACAGATGTTTAAAAACAGTTTATTGTGGCACGGTTCATAATGGCAAAGACTTGGAACCAACCCAAATGCACATCAATGATAGACTGGATAAAGAAAATGTGGCACATATACACCATGGAATACTATATAGCCATAAAAAAGTATGAGTTCATGGCCTTTGCAGGAACATGGATGAAGCTGGAAACCATCATTCTCATCAAACTAACACAAGAACAGAAAACCAGACACCACATGCTCTCACTGACAGGGGGGAGTTGAACAATGAGAACTCATGGACACAGGGAGGGGAACATCACACGCTTGGGCCTGTCAGGGGGTTGGGGTGGGGGGAGGGGATAGCATTATGAAAAATACCTAGTGTAGATAATGGGTCGATGCGTGTGGCAAACCACCAAGGCACATGTACTCCTGTGTAACAAGCCTGCACATTCTGCACATGTACCTCAGAAGTTAAAGTATTTTAGAAAGTATCCTAAATTTGGGTTAAATAATCAATAAAAAAGATATCCCATGTATAGTAGTAGAAAAAAAATGTTATGCAGTTTAGTGTGAATTGAAAATATGTAAATAACATGTTATCTGCGAATCCATAGATATTATTGCTTACAAAATACAAAAACGTTATTTAAAATCAGTTAATTAAAATAGCTTTATTAAATAAATAATTGTATAGTTGATATGCACATATGACAAAAAAGGATCAAACTGTTAGTGGAATGATTAGTTAACACGCTGTCAAAATGCCTAGGAATCAGACAAACCTGGTTCAAACCTCATCCACCACTTACTAGCCATGTGACTTTAAGCAAAAAGTAAGAATAATAACAGTACCTGCTTCACTGGGTTGTTGTTAAGCTTAAGTGAAGGGCATTACAGTGTAGTGATGGGGTGCACAAAATCTAAAGCCAGATGCCTTGGTTTCAAATCCATGCTCTACCAATTACCAGCTAAGTGATGTTAAGCAACTTAAGCTTCATGTGCCTTAATTTCCCCATCTGTAAGTGGGCTTATTATGAGAGTTGTATGAGTTAATACCTTTGGAGTGCTTAGGAATATTCTAGTATATATTAAGTGTTCCTTGGAAGCAATCCTAGTGTAAGCATTATGTGTTTGTTAAATTAAAATAAGCTTATAGGCTGAAAAGTGGCTGACCCCTATAATCCCAGCACTTTTGGAGGTCAAGGTGGGAGGATTGTTTGAGCCCAGGAGTTCAGGGTTGGCCTGGGCACCATAGCAAGACCCTGTCTTTTAAAAGGAGCCAGATGTGGTAGTGCAGACTTGTAGTCATGGCTACTCAGGAAACTGAGGCAGGGTGATTGCTTGAGCACAGGAGTTTGAGGCTGCAGTAAGCCATGATTGTGCCACTGTACTCCAGCCTGGGTGATAGAGTGAACCCTGTCTCAAGAAAAGAATAAAAATAAAAAATAAATGTCTATACAATTCCCAAAATTTAGTAAATTCTCATGAAATGTAACCCATTGGTGTTGCTTTGTATTCCCAACACTGGAAAGAAATAAGTATACAATCCGCATTTGATTAAGAGGCAGCATTTAATTGCTCAGCATACACAGAGAGCTGGCAAATTCCAGCACCTCTCTGCAGTAAGAATTAAAAACAGGCCTCATGGAAGCTGGGTCTCCTTGAAGGACTGTCGGAGTGGGGTTAGAGAGAATCCCCAAGTTATTTTTCTGTGTGGGCCATTTCAATTTACAGATGAGGAAACTAGGTCTCAGATAAATTAAGCAAGCTTCCAAGGGACATGTTCTTTGTAGGGACATGGATGAATCTGGAAACCATCATTCTCAGCAAACTGACACAAGAACAGAAAATCAAACATTTCACGTTCTCACTCATAAGTGGGTGTTGAACAATGAGAACACATGGACACAGGGAGGGGAGCCTCACACACTGAGGTCTGTTGGGGGAGGCTAGGGGAGGGACAGTGGTGAGTGGGAAGGTTGGGGAGGTGGTTGTGTTTAAAGACATGCCCATAGCTACACAGGTAGGAGACCTTCCAGCCTATTCAGATAAAAACTTACACAAACTTCCAACCCACTCAGATAAAGAAATAGGGCCTGATATAGAAATGCCTTTGTCCTTTATATAATCAACAGGCTCCCGGGAAAATATTTCTTCTTTTTTTGTGGGCATGAACATGGTGAGGTCCAGTAAACACTTTCCTTTCCTTTTTGAACTGTGAACTTGGCCTCTATGAATCATCACTTCAATTGCTGATAGGTCCTGGGCCAAACTGAGTAGCTCCTGTGAATCATTACTTCAGTTCATGATTGGTCCCAGGCCAAGATTCCAGGCCAAACTGAATCATACTTTCTCCAAGACAGCACACAGACTAAACACATTCCTTTCCCTGCCCAATCCATAAAAACCCCAGACCCCAGTCTCATAGTGAACAATGCATATGCCCCCCCCCCCCACTATGGAGAACTTATTTCTTTCACCTACTAAATTTTCACTCCAACCTGACTCTTGGTCCACACTCCTTAATTTTCTTAGATGTGAGACACGAAACTTCAGAAACTATTTCAAACAACAAAAAACTACTACATATTTTAATACAATGACAAGACTGCAACATATTTTGGTGCATTTGCTGGGAAAGAAAGGGATTCATCTAAAGGGTAAGTAAGAGTGGACATTTAACTCTTTACTTTCATTTTGGAGGCTTGTCCTCAGTTTTTTTTCTCTCAAGAAAAGTCAGCCAGTGCCTCTTCTCTCAATAAAAAACAAAACAATGAAAACACCGGGTCCCTGTCAGCCAGTTAAAAAACTGATAGGGTGGCTTCCAGCCTTAAGACTCAGGGGACAGACTTGTTGGAGAGAACTTTGTCAATCCCCATTGCTCTTAGGTGTTGGAAATGTTGGAAATGTTCCAATCCAGTTTCCTTTCACACAGGGCCTGGCTGTCACATGGGACTGGAAGGAGGTCCTGTGGCAACTGAAGGTTTCTAGCCAAGGCTACAGCTTGGTGTTACCTGAAGGCCTCTAGGCTAACTCCAGTCCTTGATATCCCATCAGGTGTTAGCGCCAGGACTTCCAGACTTTTCTATTGCATTTTCTTCCTTTCTTTTCTCAACTATCATGTCTCCTATCCCTTCTTTGTATACAATGATGTGGGTGTTTTCACAACCTTGGGATGTAGTCCTGTTGGGTAAAGTCAGCCAGTGCCTTAGTAATCAGAAATGCAATTCAATGAATTATTGTCTCTGTGGTTTCCTTGAAATGAGGAAATTCCAAGACCTGGATCTGGAGACCTATTCATCTCCCAATGATAATATTTAATGGGGTTAGACGAGGGGTTATTTCTCCCAGGACAGTTATCCCACCTTCATTTAAACTTTTTCTTTTCCAATGTGAATAGCCAACATTGTTCAACAGAACTAGACAAACTTTCTATGAAACAAGTTAATTTTCTTCTACTGAGAGACATACTGTGGAGACAGCCTATCAAGCCCCAGATATCTCTTTTTAACTTTTGCCTGGAAAGAATTTAGTTAGAATTTTTACCTAACATTTCAGACCTTACAGCTCCACCCAGAGGGATGGGATTTTTCTCCATGGGGAGCCTTGTCAACCCTTTGCCCCAAACCTCAAGTTCCCCAATTCTTTTCTCTCTTACGTCCTTCTGTCAGTGATCAGGTCCCATGCCCTATTTGTAGTTAACAAAATTCCACTTTCAATAGCCGGGAGGAAGCCATCCTGGCAACATAGATTTTAGCCCTTATACTGTCCCTGTCAAAGAAACGCCAGCTATTCAATCCTTGTGTTCTCTTGAGGCACCTGTTCTACATCCAACTGCATTGTAATTTAAACAAAAAAAAATGATTTTACATTTAGAAGTCAGTTGGTTCCATTCTCTGGAACTCCAGTGTTTCACTGGGACCATAACAGGGGAAGCCAGAGATAGTATTAAGACACTCTCTCCATTAAAGACTCTTGCCCAAATCCAACTACAACATAATCTCTCCCAGGCCCCTGGGGTACCCTGGAAGCCTTTTGGGCTGCGTGGGTCTAGAAAACCAGCAGGGCAGAAAACTATGTCCTTACACAGGTGAACATGACTAGTGCTGCCAGTTAGGTCCTCCAGATACATGGGTGAAGATCACACTTGTATCCATGGATGGAACCTATGTTGGTTATTGAGACCCAGAGGACAAGGGAGGGAAGAGGAGAAGGAAGATGCCCTTTCTCTTTCTCTCCACCCTAAGTCACTCAGAAGGGAAAGAGAAGACTACAGGATGTCTTTGTCTCCCTCATCTTGCTAGGTGTATAACAAACCTTCTACAGTCTATGCTCCTCTTGAGTACATTCTGAAACACTGGAACTCCTTTGACCCTGAGACTCGGAAGAAAAAAACAAATATATTCTATTATACAAGGGCGTGGTCATCTTACCAACTACAAGACAGACAGGAGACCTGGCTGCCTCAGAAAACTAGATCTATCCAACTAGATCTTTTCTACAGACGTGTGGACAAATGTTCCAAGATTCCCTATATACAAACTTTATTTGCCCTGCAAGACAACCCAAATCTTTATAAGCATAGTAAAATTAACCCTGCCCTCTTAACAGCCATATCAGACAAGCCTACAAAAGGTAATTCCCCAAAGTCAGAGAGACAAATACAACTTCTAGGTACCCTCCCTGACCCCCTTTTCCAGGGTCCCCAATAGTCATATCAGCTCCTCCAGTTGTGCCACCCACAAAACCCCTAAATTCACTGTTATCTCTACAAGAAATGCCCAGCAGACGTAGTACTGCTAAGGTTCAAGTTCCCTTCTCATTACAGGACCTTAGACAAATAAAGGGGGACCAAGACAAGTTCTCATGATAACCATGAGAGATATATAAAGGCTTTCCAAAATCCAACACAAGTGTTCAATCTTACATGGAGAGATAGTATACTACTGCTAAGCCAAACCCTAACTACTACTGAGAAACAGACAACCCTACAGACAACAGAAACATTCAGAGATGAACAACATGTGTCCTATAAGAAGTCCAAAAAAAA